ATTATATATATATATAATAATGTAGTATAATTTATAAAGATTTGTTCTGCCATTAACCTTAAGAACGCAACAGCATAAAAGTAACGGTCCGACAGATTGGTTCCACCGATCATCGAAGAAAATAAATGGCAAAATGGAATCTGAATCTCATGGAACAGGAATATCAAAATTCTCTGCTACATCAATTTTTTTCCTTTGTTCGGAGGCCACAGGTCATTTTACGAGTGTTATGTTGGGAAAGGAAGAGATGTTTCTGTAAAGTTATTATTTTGTTTGTTCCAGTCATGGAAATCATGGTAATCAGTTATCTAAATTTTAAATTAGAGGTCTCTTGATTGTGTTAATATTAATATTATTGTATATAATGTGTAGGCCCGGCATGGCCAGGTGGTTGGGGCGCTCGACTTGTAATCTGCAAACCTCCGCATTTGCCTGGTCCTAAGTCCAGGATGAAAAAGGGGGAGGGTTGGGCTAGCAACTCCACCCCGTAAAAACCAACCTGCTACAAGTAACTGCAACAACACCTTCCGTTGGCGAGGTGTTGCTGCGGCTCTATGCTCCACTGGGAGTTTACAGGAATAACAAAAAAAAATAATAATATGTATCATTCAAATGTCGTTAATACAAAAGGCAATATAAAATGTTAACAAAAAATACAAATTTTAATACTTACTGTAAAGCAGTAATATTTCGTTTCATTTTCTTACTTAAATTTAAAAATTAGCAAGTAAACCTAAAACTAAAACTTTTAAATTGGTCTAAAAAACGTTAATAGAAGAATAGGGATATAATATCTAATTGTTAGTTTGTAGAACTATAAGATGATTGTTTCAAGTTAATCAGATAAAAATGAAATATTAGATTAAATATTGACACATTTGAGTTGTTTTTATTTGTATTTTGTAACCTTTGTGTTTGTAAGATAATGGCAACTTAATTCAGTGGGGTATTTTTCCTTATTACATGGCCCAGTGTATTTCTACTTATGCTTTTAGAATTTGACATGTTGTTTCACCCAACTATTTTTATTTCTTGGAAGTTTAGCCAATTGACGGTTCAGAAAACCTAATTTGTTGAATTATGTTTCTGATTTCATTTTATACTTGCAGGAATTAGTCAGACATTAATTAATAGAAGACAATGGTGTAACAGTAAACTGATTTATCAGTCTGGTACTCTGTGATACTAATAATATATAGATTGGTGTGTTCATGTAATAAATATTTGATTATATTAAAATATAACAAGCTTTTTATATTTTTTCCTGTCTATGACTGTAGGTAAATCACCTGCATCATGGAAACACAAGCAAAGAAGGTTAGATTTGTATATGTATATATAAAATATGTTTTCAATAAAGTGTTTAATTGAATTTTTATTTGAAAAGTGGATTTTATCCATTATATTGGTTTTGTCTAAATACTGTTCTAATTTATTTTCATATTTCAATTATTACACAGCTCCTTGCAGTTGTGGTTTTTGGTTCCATCTCTACTTATGGATAGAAGGATGGCAAGTGCCTCTTCAACATGGATAGCAGGGTGTGCAAGTTTGCAGTAGGCATCGGAATAATAGCATTTTTAGGTAGTATTGGTTTCTTGGTGGCAGAAGCAATGTTTGAGAAGTTTTCAAGCATCAAAATTCAAAAACGACTGGTTTTATTTGATCTAGGATTTTCAGGTAAGTTCTTTCTTTTAGCTGAAGATATAACCCCCTTTTTATTCTTGTACATTGTACAAAGCATTATGTAAAGATTGCACAATAACCATCATACAAAAGAAATTTCGCTGATTATATAAACAGTGAATTCACTAATGTAATAAAAAATACTTCACCTGTAATAGAAAGAAACCAAGAAAAGCATGAAACTTTTAATTGATAAGGTTCTGTAGCAAGCAAGATGTGCATCTTAGTCAAGGTGATGACTACATTTAACATGTTTTTACACACTCATGTGCACACACACACACACATCTCATTTGTATTTATTCATAGGTCATAAAAGTAGCCTGTTTTGTCAGCTGAAAATTTAATTATTTTAAATCTTAAACTTTTAATTATTAGTATTGTTTTTTTTAAAGGAAGCATAAGCACTGTGATGGAAAATGGCCACAATAAATGACATGGGATAATATCTCTACCACTTAAAAAGAAAGCTATTCCACTCAGAACATTGTGATAAGAATTAATGTTTTTATGTGGTATATATAATATGGTGTGTCTATTATGGTTTCTTTTAGCCTACTAAATACACTACAATTTGTCAAGTTTAATTATAATTCATTTGAGAAATATGGTAAAATAGGTTAAATCCATTACAGCTTTAAGTAAGTCTTTCCATTTTCTTTCCCTTGTTTTATGCTGTCAAAATAATTGGAATAAAGTTTCCAAAAATTATGATTCTTCTCCCAGTTTTATATGGAATTAAATTTATATGGGAGTTTTAAACTATTCTAATTTGGTATTTATGGTTCATTTAAAAGCATATTAGTATTTTCAGTGAGTTAGTTTTAGTGGGATTAATGTGAAATTTTTGTAATTACTTGAATAATTCACTCAAAGCAGTACAAAGTGCAGTTATATTACTCTGTTGAAATATCTACATATGTGCATTATTTTTTTTTTAATAGGAATGTTAGAGCTATTATTTGTCTGTTTAACAACAGGAACCAAAGTTATTAGTTATGAAAAGAAACTACTGGTATGCTACTAAGAGATAAAAATGCATTTTGATGGTGCATTTCTTACTATATTATAGATACACATTATGTTTGCTTATAGGTAAAACTATGTCTGAATTATTGATTTTTGACATGTCTAGTAATTATCAGTACTTTGTACAACTATTAATAAACAACAGTGATAAAAATGACTTTATGATGTTTTGAAATTTTATCCTCAGAGTGTTTCATTAACATTCTTTCCACCTTTCTTATATGTTTCAAATATTTAAAAACAATTAAAATAGTTCTACTTTTTTATAAATTAAAAGTACTCATAGTTTTGAAAGTAGTGATGCAACAAACATTATGCACATTATTACAGGTTACAATAGCTCCATATACATATACTGTAGTAATACTGAAAGAAAAGATGATACAGTAAACATTTTGCTCAATATTAAAGGTTACCAAAGTTCAAGTACAGTGTTATTGAAACAGAAGTACAAATAATGTTAATTTACTGTACTGTGTTGTTATATTTCAAAACAAACAAATAGCTAATAATAATTTTCTCATTATTTCCATCTATTAGGTCATGATGATTTTCATGAACTCTACTGAAACTTTTGTAAACTCTACAAGGATGTACTTTATGGCTGTCATTAATTAAAAGTGGCTTATATTTTTTTCTTTTTCCTGATTTGATGAAGAGTTTTTTTACTTTGAGTTTGAAGTCATGGTAGTTCAGTTAATATAGCATTCAGCATAGAACACTAATGTAAATTGGGGATGTTATGTTCCAAATCTGGTCAAAATAAATACTTTTTAACCTATTTTGGATTGTTATAATTACTTATATAATAATTTAACATGCCTTATAAAGTTAATAGGATCTGTGGTTCTGCAATGTGAGATTGAGCTTGCACCATAACCAAAATAACCTTTTACCAATCAGTTTCTAAATGGAGAAATGTGTATGATACTTCCAACTAAAGAAATATTTACCATTTAATTTTAGTTAGCTTAAGTTTTAGAAATGTATACACTTGCATAATTTCATTTTAACTTTTCCAGAAATATATTTTACATTTAAAAGTTACGCTTTTCATAGTTATTCTTTTTAGTCAATTTTAAAAGGATAGGTGCAATACTATCAAAACCTTTATTTATGGTAAATGTCACAAAATGCTCTCTTGTAGTTTCATTTGTTCATTTAGGGTCACTGACCATTCTATAAGAAAGTATCAAATGCTGGAAATGAAAGCATTGAAAAAATTTTTAAATTGTTCTATCACTTTAATAGGCTTATGTTCAGTCTTCTAATTCAAATGTAGTGTTTGTCTTAAACTGTTGCTTAAGACTTCCATGGGTTCACCTTAGTGTACTAGCAAATTTTAAGAGATTACAGATTCTTTACGGGAATCATTTACTCACTTAGAGATATTCAAATGATGACTGATTAATTATCATGTATTCATGGAGTGTGGAATTCATATTGTCTGATGCCTAGGACAAGGGGTTTGGCCATTGGACAAGTAGCTTTGTTTCTCAACATTGTTCTATTGCTAGAAAATCATTCCTGATAGATTTATAGAGAGCTAGGCAAGTTCTTGAAAATTCTGAACTGTGAAAGTCGAGCACATACAAACGTTTAAGAAATGTGTACACCTAAACCTCGAGCCAAAACTAGGTGCACAAATATACAGGTCTCATTTTTCCACAAATCCTCAGTTGCACATATGGTTAGAAACAAACTTACATCAATACAGTTATAATATTACACTGCTTCTGTCTACAATAGGAGCCCAGTAAAGTTTGACTGCTAGCTCTATGAAGGATGAATAACGTAAAATTACAAACAAAAACATTATTTTGTCTCTTGAACTAGGAGACTTTTTTCAAAAATTCCACACTTCTGCAATGTAAAAAACAATTGAACATTATTGTTTTTTTCAATAAAGCTTTGTCATTATTGCAAACGGGAGTAATGGAAGTGGGTTAGAATGCCCGATATCCTTAGATACACTTCATTATAAGGTGGATATATAAACAAGAAAGTATACTACAAAACCTCTTGTAAAACAACTAAAGTGAACCCGTTTACAAATTTTTTTTCCAACTGTTTATTTATTGGTTTCTAACTGGAAGTCCAAGTGAGGTAGTGAGCATGTGTACATCTGACTGAGAGAGAGGATTAACCCCTTATTCACTTGTAGCTACAAAAAACTACCTGACTCTAATATTTATTGCAAAAGGGATATTAATTAACCAAAAAAATAAGAGTTATATGCAATAATGGTAAAAGCTAAAAGTTGGAAAAGTTACTTACCTTTTTGCCCAACAAAGAGCTATTACCCTATTACATTATGCACTTTACTGTGTAAAATTCTTGCTCATTCTACAAGCCTTGAATAAAATCTCCCACACTTACACGTGTTAATGTGTATTGCACCAGCCTGTAATGTAATCATCATTAGACTATTGTCTTCCACTAATAGGAGGGCAGCACATCCTCCATACACTCTAATTCCCATGAGCACTAGCACTTGAAACATGAACAAAGGCTCACGATTTCCTTGTCACTGCTTGTCTTCAGACCCTTTTTTTTGGAATTCCCAGAATTTTTGTGCTTATTATTTTAAACTTTCATTACCATTCATAAGGTAGTCTTTCTTTCCTTAATTTTCATGATTATATCCAAGAATGATATCACATTTTAAACTTTTAAGTTAGAATTTTGATTCATATGATCTTCGTTTTGATTTTCCTTTACTTGTATCTCTACTTTTCAACCTTATGTCCCATTGTATAACCCAACATACAAGTTTTGTCCTGTGCTCTTCATGATTGTCATTAAGCATACATACCATCAAAATACCAGGATTATTTTATTTATGAAAAATAATAAAATATTGGATTCTATTATGTTCCTTGTATTTTTACAGAAAAGAACTGCTCCAAAATTAGTTTGATAGATCAGTTGCATTAAGCATACATATTTCTGTGTTTTTAATATCTCCCAAGGTTGGTTCTATTCTGATTCCAGATCCAGAATTCCCACTCTTCTGGTCCTGCCTCAGTAGAGAACATATTTCACCTATTGTTTCCATGGCTGCTTTTGCTTCTAGTTCCATATTCATTTTGAGGATCAGTTAGTTTCATCTTCATCCTTTTTTGCTTAGATTCCACAGACATATGTTTTTTTATTTCTTTCTCCAGTTATTTTTTGCTAATTCTTGGCTCCCTTACTGCATGAGCCTTTATCACTCGAGTCTCTTCTTTCTGTTTAGAGATATCCTCTTTTTCCATTCTTTTTTTTTCTTTGTGTCTTACTCAACTTCATTCATTCTTATGCGTTCCCTTCTTTTAGAGGCTTTGCATCAAGACCCTGTCAATTTTACTGGGTCTAATTGCACATACTTATCTTCCAACGTGCCTTTGATTTTCTTCCCTTTTGCCCCATTTAACTTTGTTTCTTTTGGGATTTACTTCATCAGGCACCCTTACTTTGACATTTGCCTCTTCAGTTTCTCTCCAGGCCATCTGTCTTGTACCCTTTCTTTGGAATGTAGGTTTTTTGGGTATTTCTTTTACTTTAGCATCAGTAGTAATTTATGCTTACTTTGGTTTCTTGCCTTTGGGATCAGGTGGTCCCACCAGGTTTTTCTTCATGTATGTGGCCTCTTGGAGTCATTTATCTCCTGTTTTTTGTTCTCTTGTTACCATCTAAGGTTCATTCTATTTAGGACTAGCCATCATGGGTCTTCGGAGCAATTTTTTTCTGGTGCTATCTCTCAGGTTTGGTCCTGTGGGAGCTCTGTTGTACACCTATGAACTTCATTTCCTGCAACCTAGTGAGCTCCTCAAGTGCAATTTCAGTGGTTTTTACCTGTCCTTCCACTCTCTACCTTACCTGTTTTGAATGCTGTGGGATGATTCTTCTACCCCACTGTGAGGTTTTACTCCCAATCTTATGCTGCTCCCAGGAAGGTGGATGGTTGGTAGCTAGTCATCACT